CTGGAATTGCCTATTCAAAAAGAAAAACAAGAAACCGAAAATCGGTTACACGAAGAAAATTATGAGCCGGATCGCCTCCTCTTTGTAAACATCAACCTCGTTCCCAGGGCTTCCGATGTAAACATTTATCAACTATTATAAACGATCGTAAGGCATCACTTAAAGATTTCCCCAAATAGTAAGTTCTACCTTTTTTACTGACGTTCATCGATTTTGCTTAAAACGCAAACATAAAACGTACGAAATTTGTTTTAAAACGAGCACTCAAGTTTGTAAAACATGCAGCTGCAGGTTTCTATTGTCAAACATGTCACATGTCACGGTCGAAACGTTTTGTTTCCACGTGGCAAACGTAAACAAACGTGTTTTAAAGTTTGCCTGTCACGGTTGCTTGCAAATTTGCTCAGACTTTGCCGATCCAACGATGGACCGCATCTAATGTAGATCAGATTCTTGCTGAGGGAGATCGACTTGACGACTTTTATATCTCGTTGCTTTTGAAAGTAGATCCATCCCTGACACAGAATGGATGAACAGTCGTAGATTAAACATTGTCTATTTTTATGACAAAGTACAATGTTTTTTATACCGAGAAACTTCAATGTTTGTGATGATCATGTAATCAGCTTGGATTGGCTGATCAGATTAAAACCTGTCAAGTGTTTTTGATCTTGACAAATTGACAAACATTGAAGATTCTCACACAAATAGGCAATGTTTTTATCTGCGACTGTCCACCTTGCAAACAACGGTATTTGGGCTGAATCAAAAAGGGCGGATGTTGAGTCGCTTATCAGGGTAACTAATTCTGATCTACTGCCCGGTGGTCGATCAAAACTCGTGGAACAACGCACGTTTATGGTTAGTAGATTACGGGAAAGCATTATTAAACATAATATGCGAATAGATTCCTTCTAAAATAATATTGTGATTTTTGAAGCGAGTCATTTGTTCTTATATTGTGTCCAGGAAAGGGAAACATTTCGCTTGTACTGTAGTAACCCGGCCAATGGGTAACAACTAAGAAGCGAAACATCTCGCTTCCATTGATACAGTCAAGGGCAACAAGAAGCGAAATATTTCGCTTCCATTCCCACAATATACACTATTGTTGTGTTGGTAAAAGAAGCGAAACATCTCGCTTCCACACAGACAATGGGCACTGAACAAGAAGCGAAATGTTTCGCTTCCATTCCATTCCAACAATATACTCTATTGTTGTGTTGGTAAAAGAAGCGAAACATTTCGCTTTCATTCCCACAATACACACTATTGTTGTGTTGGTAAAAGAAGCGAAACATTTCATTTCGCTTTCATACAGACAATGGGCAACAAGAAGCAAAATGTTTCGCTTCAGTCCATTCCCATAATATACACTAGTCACACTATTGTTGTGTTGGTAAAAGAAGCGAAACATTTCATTTCGCTTTTATACAGACAATGGGCAACAAGAAGCGAAATGTTTCGCTTCCATTCCCACAACATACACTATGGTTGTGCTGGTAAAAGAAGCGAAACATTTCGCTTTCATACAGACAATGGGCACTGAACAAGAAACGAAATGTTTCGCTTCCTGATTCCCACAATTTGACACAATATATATACACTATTGTTGTGCTGATAAAAGAAGCGAAACATTTCGCTTTCATACAGACAATGTCAATGGGCAACAAGAAGCGAAATGTTTCGCTTCCATTCCCACAATATACACTATAGTTGTGTTGGTAAAAGAAGCGAAACATCTCGCTTCCACACAGTGACACAGACAATAGACCTTTCCCCTTATAACCAAAATTTTGATCTAGGCAAGACTAGACAAATATTTCATCACAGCTTGAAAGAGCATCACAAAATTAGTAATATTCCAAAGTTTCGTTGCGAAATGTTGTAAAATGTTAAATGAGGAAAATAGAGCCTTGCGAAGTTTGCAATTTTCAGTCATTTTGGCTTTTGCATTACAAACGGGAAATTGCAGCCCCAACACCCGAATCGTATGTCAATTTCCCGTTTGTAATACAAAATGACTGAAAAACGGCAAACTTCGCAAGGCTATATCTGATCCGCATTTTACAAGATTTTGCAACAAAACTTTGGAATATTACTAATTTTGTGATGCTCTTTCAAGCTGGGATGAAATTTTTGTCTAGATCGAAATTTTAGTTATAAGGGGAAAGGTCCATTAATGGGCACTGAACAAGAAGCGAAATGTTTCGTTTCGATTCCCACAATATATACTATTGAGTATTGTTGTGTCGACGAGCAAGAAGCGAAACATATCTCGCTTCCAATGGGCAACGTAGAAGCGAAAGGTCTCGCTTCCATTCCCACAATATATACTATTGTTGTGTTGACCGTAAAAGAAGCGAAACATCTCGCTTCCACACAGTCATTCGGTGTGGTTATCGGCCATAGGCGGAATAGAAAACAGTTGTCCACACCGAACACTTCACGACAGGTGGCTTACACTTCACATGTATATAACTTGGAAAACCGGACCTTTGGTAGCCTCCTCCGCAGGCATCTTACCCGACGAATCGAGTGGTGGGAAAAAATCGGGAAATATTTTTTCAAAACCCATTCGCAGGCTAAAACCCATAGATTGAGAGGCCTGCGGAGGAGGCTAGGCCTTTGGCTTTGTGAAAGGAAACTTTGGAAAACAAACGGAGTGAAACGTTCAAGCAATGCAACATTTTTCAGAAACTTGTCAATCACATTGATCAAGCGTTCGTTGACGTTATGTCGCCGTCGGCTTTTGTCAGATAATCTGCCTCCACATAAACATGCACAGGCCCGTACACAGGCTCAGACTGATAAAAACAACTCATCAGTTTGTATAATAATATGAATGTCGTTTGAACGTAAATTTGCCCTGCAACAGAACACAACAAACTGCTCATTCCACAGGTACGACGAGATACTGAGCTCAAGTGAGCGTGGTCAGCTCGAGTATGTACTGTGTTGCCAGTTGCTTCTCATAGAAATAATAGACATAGAATGCGTGCTGATGACGAATGTCTTCACTTTTTCACCGTGCGTGCAATTCAACCTCGTTCCTGGGAACGTTTTGAATGCGCCGTTTTGAATTTTGGCAAGGAGTTTGGAGTCACCGCAGGAGTCTGGACCGAGTAAAAATGCCCTTTTCAATGTACCATTTTGTGCATTCTCGTACCCAGAGACCTTCTTACGCGCGTTCGACCGAGTGCGACGAGGGGCTCTGGCCAAATCCATAACCGGATACCATAAAAACATGGTAAGAGAACAATATCCGGTATTAGAACTATGGCCAATCAGATGCCAGTTTGACTATATGGATTTGGCCAGAGCCTGTGCCAGAGCCCCTCGTCGCGCTTGGTCGAACCACTGGTCGAACGCGCGTAAGAAGGGCTCTGGGTACGAGAATACATTTTGTGGAGATAAAGTTTTGACTGAAGCGAGATAGGAGCACGCATTCTATGTTCGCTTCTTTTACCAACACAACAGTAGTATATATTGTGGGGATGGAAGCGAAACATTTTCGCTTCTTGCCCCTTGACTGTATAGAAGCGAGAAGTTTCGCTTCTTTTACCAACACAACAATACTGTGTATTGTAACAAGGGCAGATTTCGTTCTCGACCAATCAGCGCATTTGTTTACATTTTCGCTCTCAGCTAATCATAATGCAGGAAACGAGAAATTAACAACAAGGCGAGCTAGAAAATATTGCCGTCTTCTCGGGCTTCCGTGAGATTCAATTTTAACTTTTTTAATTTAAAACCAAAAGATTATGATGCAGCACATTAAAATCTAAAACTTTGCCGTGGGCATTTTTAAATTTCGACCTAGAACGGAAAATATCCATGTTTGAAATTTTTCCCTATGTCGCGTATACAAATCGTATACAAATTTGAGTAATCTAATTTGACTGCAATAAAACTAAAAATTGCTATATTTTCTCTGCTTTACGTTTTCGTTGGAAAACTCTTTTTTGCTCTTGTTGAGAATCATTCTGGTCAATGTATTATTTCATAACCGAGAAGATAACACGTTTAGAGAGTCTGATTTTCTTCAAAATCGGTCGGACAATATTTTTGTATTGATTTCCCTATGATCGGGAGCGTGCGACGATATTTTTTTAAAATCAAGCGCTATAAACGCTTTATCGTCTAGGTTTTGATATAAAACATTGACCAAAACAATTTGCAACAAGAGCGAAAAAGAGTTTTCCAACAAAAAACTTAAAAGCAGAGAAAATATAGCAATTTTTAGTTTTATTGCAGTCAAATTAGATTACTCAATACGCGACATAGGGAAAAATTTCAAACACGGATATTTTCCGTTCTAGGTCGAAATTTAAAAATGCCCACGGCAAAGTTTTAGATTTTAATATGCTGCATTATAATCTTTTGGTTTTAAATTAAAAAAGTTAAAATTGAATCTCACGGAAGCCCGAGAAGACGGCAATATTTTCTAGCTCGCCTTGTTGTAAATTTCTCGTTTCCTGCGTTATGATTAGCTGAGAGCGAAAATGTAAACAAATGCGCTGATTGGTCGAGCACGAAATCTGCCCTTGTTAGTGCCATTACATTTATAACAAGAAATCTTGTCTAATGCTTGTGGTTTTATGATTAACTCTATTGATAAATTCAAAATGTGCCGCGTGTTTAAGAAGTGTTTAAGAATTTACTCATATAGTAAATTCAAAGGTGGAGCTCATGTTGAGTAGGCTATGTCAGTTAAGGTTTCCTAACTTCTAAAATGCTTAAGCATTTTGTTTTTAATTTTGTGTGTTCATAAGAAGGGCGGCAAGTGTTTGATCAGTCCTGCAGACAGAATGTCTGTACTCGCAGTATTGCAATTCTTCAGAGAGATATCGTGTTCTATCTCATGCCATTATTGCCAATTAACTTTCACTGAAACATTTTTTGGGACATATCTGTTGGACTTTATATTAGTTTTGAACATTGTAGGTGCAACTCAGGTGTGTGTTTGTTTTGTATTTAATAAGTTAAAAAGTCGATAATATTGATTTATTTTGGTTCTATATGAAAAAAATAATAAATGTTTTTATTAAAATAACTAATAGTAAAAATATTTCAAATAGTGAAAGTCTTAAAGATGGAATTTTTCATTGCATTCGCCAGGTATCGCCTGGTATAGACTGGAATGGAAAATTTCATCTTCCACCTCATGAAAATATTTTTACCATTGCACTCATGAACATTCCGGCGTTTTCAAGAAGAACCTATAAGCGGTAAACAGTGCACTTCAGTGCACTTCTTTATGACCATCACGAACAGTCACAATTCAGTTCATGCACTATAGTCTGCGATGCAGCATTTATACAAATTTAAGAAGGACTCGTAAAAGGTCTAGCATCACAAATCACACGCTACAGTAAAACGGAACACAATCACATTATATATTAGCTTTATTTAGTTTTTATATTAGCTATATTAGTTGACGAAACACAAACATTATATTAGCTTTATACGTTATATAGCATTTGTACAACACTTTTTAAAATGTTATACGTTTCTTTTAATTATTAAGCGCGAGACACAGATTGCATTCCATTCGACGAACACAAATGCCCGCATGTTACTGACTTTGCACCGAAAGCTGACAATGTAGAAGTTGAGATTCAAGCTGACTACCTGGACAGACCATGGCCTACCATATGGTTCTTAGTTAAATGGGAAGTTCCTAAGTTAGGTAAGTGTGATTTTGTTTTCATGAATACTTATACACGATTCGCCAGTCATGTGCATGTACACTCCTTTCCGCAACTATATATATATATATATATATATATATATATATATATATATATATATATATATATATATATATATATATATATATATATATATATATATATATTTATATCACACTTGCGTCGGTTTTCTTTGTTCGTCCGAGGTTTATAACTAGCTTATAGACCTTGAATAAATGATTGGATTAAACTTGTAGACAAAACGCGAGAATTTTTCATTAAAAATTTTTGAAAATGACAAAATATGTTGGAAAACCTCCGCAAGTGTGATATAAGTTAGTTATAAACCGAGTAAGTCGGTTTATAACTGATATATTGACCCGAGGACGCGTAGCGTCCTCGGGTCAATATATCAGTTATAAACCTCCTACTCGGTTTATAACTCTTACATATATAATTATATATGTATATATATATACATAACTATTACAGTACTTACTTGTAGGTAGTTGTGGTAAACATCTATGGTGTTAGTTCTATGTTCTATACTTATACTTTACAGGAAGAAGAAGCATTTGGGGTTGGCAGATCACTGTAAACGGTTTGGAAAACAGCGTGGGGTACGAAAAGTGCTATCAAGTCAATTTAAACTGTTCTGAAATTAACTCAAAAGAGGTAAAGTTGCTTGTACAAAGAAAATATCAAGTGGATATGAATATGTGCATGCTTTATCTGTTGTGCATGCTTTATCTGTTGTACGTGTGTAATCAGTGCATTATGAACAGCAAAAAATTTAACCTATATATAGTTGCTAATTTTTTCTGAAGAAAGAAAGGTCGAAGGCCTGGCACGATTAACAAGAATTGTCTTTTAATTATAAGCGGCGATAATAATAAAGGGTTATTAACCGAAAGGGAGATCTGTACGGGAAAGTATTTGCCTGAGGCTTTCGTACAGAACGAGCGACGAAGGAGCGAAGTCTGTGCGGATAAACCGAAGGCAAATACTTTCCCGTACAGACCGAGCAAACCGAGGTTAATAAACCGTTTATTATATGGCTCCTTAAATAAACACATTTTCTGATTTTCATATATTTGTTTGAGCGCTATAAAGGTATTTTTGAGCTATGTTTTATTTGCTAGTTTTCTTTGTTTAGATTTGGTTTCGTCACCGAATATTGTTTACGGAAAAGCATGTTTAACAATCGCTTTAGAACTGCTTTTTCGGTAACCCCCATGCATGTACCCCCAGAAAAAATGCTTATAAACCCAGTTTATATGATATTTGTTTAGAATATGGTATTAAAGACGTTAAATTCATCTTTATTTATTTTTTGAAACAAGTAAACAAATAAAAAAAATTTCCCGCCAAAACTTACGATTGCCAGTATGAGTTCAAATGGCTTGTTTTCTTAGCTTTTTCGATGAAATATGTGTTGGTACAAGTACTTATTAATATTTCCAAGACTTCTTGTTCTTAAAAATGATCCAAGGATACTTTTTCTTCATATGACAACCGGCCCTTATAAACGTGTAAAAACGTTTCAAATTCGAGCCTATGAAATTGACATACGGGAAACCGGTCCGGATACGGAAAATATACGGACCACACGGTCCGGATACGCATTTTTACGGACCGCACGTCGACCAATCAGACTCCGGGATTCTGCAAGCCATATATATATATATATATATATATATATATATAAAATATTAAATATTAAAAATCTTTAATATTAAAATATATTTGTCGCTACACTGTGTTTCACGCTTCTTTCGAAGCGATCTTCAGGCGAATGAAGTTGATTCAATGACGTGCTCTAAACTAACGGTTTGCTGACGCATCTCGCGTGCGTTCAAATTTGCGCGCGCTAAAACTATTTCTATGACAGCATTTCGCGAATATTTCTGAGCGTTTATTCAATATCCTGCTTTTGTCAGCTTCCAGTAAGCAAACCTTCTCTTCAAGGCACAGATTGCATCTTGCTGCACCAGCCGTATACGCACGGGCACGCTTTAGTATGCTCCACTTGATGTTGTATTGCTTCCCGCTTTTCTTGAGTTTCCACGCATACTTTGATAACTCTGTTTCCGCTGAATACCGAGGAACAGTTAGTGATTTTTTATGGTTGGCATGCCTCTTCTTGAACGTCCCCGCCGTCATTCCAATGTACTCTTTAGTTTCTTCGCCGTCACTTGTCGAGATTTCTGCTTTGTATACAACACTTGTTGATAAACATTTATTGCCAAGCGGACATTTGTCTTTATCATGACAGTTGCACATTTCTTTACTTTCTGGCTGGTTGCTTTTTCCGAGCAGGTGTTGATTGCGGTTGGAAATAACGCTCTTGATGTTGCTCATGCACGAGTAGCTCACTTTTACGCTGTTTCTATTGAAGATCTTGTGGAGGCGAGATGTTTTGGGGAAATGTTTGTCAATTAATTGAAGGAAGTTACGTGCAATGTTTGTTTTAACATTCTTGCTGACGGTACCGTGTAATAGCACGGTAAGAGCGGGAGGCTAGCGGACAAAGCAAGAAAAACATTGCATACTATCTTCCACGATTTAGGTTTAAAGATTACAGCCGAAGTCAACAATCACATCGTGAACTTTCTTGACGTTACATTGAATCTGCAAGAAGAGACATTCTCCCCATACCGAAAACCGAACAACGATCCCCTCTATGTTGACAGTCGTTCAAATCATCCACCTTCTATCATAAAGCACATCCCGGAAGCAATTAACAAATTAACATCGTCCGACCAAACTTCATTCAACTTATCTGCGCCTTTCTACCAGAACGCACTACGCCGTAGTAATTACAATACAACTTTACAATACTCTGCTGATGAAAACTGTAACGATACCCCATCATCAAGAACGAGAAGGCGAAAAAGAAATATTATATGGTTCAACCCTCCCTTCAGCAAGAATGTTAAAACAAACATTGCACGTAACTTCCTTCAATTAATTGACAAACATTTCCCCAAAACATCTCGCCTCCACAAGATCTTCAATAGAAACAGCGTAAAAGTGAGCTACTCGTGCATGAGCAACATCAAGAGCGTTATCTCCAACCGCAATCAACACCGGCTTGGAAAAAGCAACCAGCCAGAAAGTAATGAAATGTGTAACTGTCATGATAAAAACAAATGTCCGCTTGGCAATAAATGTTTATCAACAAGTGTTGTATATGCAAAGCAGAAATCTCGACAAGTGACGGCGAAGAAACTAAAGAGTACATTGGAATGACGGCGGGGACGTTCAAGAAGAGGCATGCCAACCATAAAAAATCACTAACTGTTCCTCGGTATTCAGCGGAAACAGAGTTATCAAAGTATGCGGGGAAACTCAAGAAAAGCGGGAAGCAATGCAACATCAAGTGGAGCATACTAAAGCGTGCCCGTGCGTATACGGCTGGTGCAGCAAGATGCAATCTGTGCCTTGAAGAGAAGGTTTGCTTACTGGAAGCTGACAAAAGCAGGATATTGAATAAACGCTCAGAAATATTCGCGAAATGCTGTCATAGAAATAGTTTTAGCGCGCGCAAATTTGAACGCACGCGAGATGCGTCAGCAAACCGTTAGTTTAGAGCACGTCATTGAATCAACTTCAATCGCCTGAAGATCGCTTCGAAAGAAGCGTGAAACACAGTGTAGCGACAAATATATTTTAAGATTAAAGAATTATTTAAGCTCTATCGTATATTGGTATTGAGCACTCTTCGTTCAATTACGGACAACAA